CTGTCCCCACAGGAATATAGTAATTTATGGTACAGGTGGTTAGAGCTCTACACAATTGGGCAGGGGGTTGGGAAATATTTGAGACCCTGAGAGTCTATGGGTCAGAAGTCCCACGGAAGCTGGGTTGGCAGTCTCAGACTCAAATTCCAATCATTCTGTTCCCACCCTAACCCATCAGCGGGCAGGTGGGAGCCACTGTTTCTCATGCAGGCATCCTCCAACCAAGGGAGTTGGTACTCTCTGTTTCCCCTCCTGAGCACAGTTCTCTGCAGACTTCCTTCATCTACAGGCTCAAATGTTACCTTCTCAGGGAGGCTTGCCCTGACCATTCTATTTAAAATTGCAAGCTACCCTCTGCCCCAGCTGTTCCCACCCTCATCCTCTGCTGAAATGTGCTCCATGTTACTGGTTCATGCTCTGTACCATGTATGCATTTATTCAGTTTATTGTCTCTTCCCCCTGCTAGCGTGTAAACTCCAGTCTTGTTCTCAGCTCTTCAAGCAGAGCCTGGCACAAGTTGGCGCTCAATATCTACTTGTTGACTGTCTGACCGAATGAATGGCCCTTGATTAGGGCCTTTACCTACTGTATTATATTGTGGATGAGCAGCGGGTCTACCTGGAGGGGCTGCAATGTTTTCTGTCCTGGGGCCAGATCCAGGCGCATGCCATTGCCATCCTGCTTCTCCCATCTGTGCCATAGGAACCTGAGCACACCCTTCCCCTCTCTGGGCCTCTCTCCCCATCTCTAAAAGGAGGGGCTTCCTGAAATGGGGGTGCTTATACTTGCAGAGGGAACAACTGCAGGGTTCTCAGTCCCAAGCTGACGTGCTATTGTGGTTATTTTTATGCTAGACCCACTGAAATGCATTATGTAAAACTGATTTATGGCGTTGAGTGTATGTGGATTACATACACTGAACAAAATACCACCATCTTTTAAATGGAATATGATACATAATTGTTTATGACTTTTTTTTTTACAACCTTCACTTTGAAAAGAATCATACGATGCCTGTTAGGACAGTTTGGGGAGAAGGAAAAAACAGTGCTTTCCAAAAGCCCCAGTGACCAAGGCTTTAGGTACACGGTCTTGTCAATAACAAAGAAAACCTTAAAAATAATAAGGAAGGGATTGCATCATGTGGTCGCTAAGAGCTCTTCCAAGTTCATGTCTACATCAGCCCTGACTTCATGCAGCCTCTGAGGAGGCGTGTACTCCGTGCCTTAATGTGAAGCCAAGAGGCCCAGGGCCGTGGCCACGCGCCCACTTGTGTAAGTGCACCCCAGAGGACATGTCACCCAGCAGCCCTGCCAGGGACAGCAGCACAGTGACATCCATTTCAGTAACACATCGAATAAATGCTGTTTTCATTCCAAGTGCAGTGGCAGGAATCAGTGAGCCAGTGGCCTTTCCCTGCCCCGTGCAAGTTAAAAATGTTGCCTGCTTCCTTGCTAACTCCCGTCTTAGCCCCGCACATTTAAAAATACACCCGTCCGTGGCTCTGCATTTGAAAATGTATTTTGCATCTGATCATTATGATGCATTTAAAGGGCAAAATTAGAAAGCACAAAATTAGACTGGCAGGCTTAATTAGCCCATTCTTTTTTTTTTTTAATGGGTGGGATTTGGGCAACTGTCTGCTCCAGGGGCACAAAGACCCCTAATGGGGTTGGTGGAAATTCACCAGCTCTTCTGTCAAACCAGTCACTCAGCAAGCCCAATGGGGGATTAACTGTGCACCGAGAAATGTGAGACCCACGAAGCAAGAAGATTACACCCCCTTGTCCTAAGAAAACGACATGAGTGCGATTACAAAGTAATCTATCAACAGATAACAGAGGGCCTTGCACATGGCGTCCCAGAGCCTGATGTAATCACGGTGGCAACACGGGTTTATATGTAAAGAGATGAACTCCACAGCTTAATGCATTCATTCGCCAGGATAATTACCACCCGTATCTCCACCTGAAGATCCATTTCCCCTCCAGCCCCGGTCTTGCTACACAATAACTGAGTGCCTTCCTCTGCACGCTGTTGCTGGTCACGGCTCCCAAGTCCGTAAGCTATTCACCGAGGGGCGCCTTGAGCTGGCCAGGACGGGTTCGGAGACTTCCAAGGGTCTTCCAAGCACCACACGCCGCATCCTCTGCAATGCGATTCCGCGTCCCTGATAAAGTTATCTTGATGGCTGTGCCGAGCTCTCTCTCTCTCTCTGCCCAGATGGGTGGATCCGTCTCCAGCGCTCAAGAGGGAGTTTTTCTCTTTTCAAGTCGCCATGGCCCTTCACAAGCCTAGACAGGCCGCGGGAAGCTGAGTAGAGGCGAAGTGATCCCAGGTATGAGTCATCCTGATGAATCAGACGTGTCGCTTTCTTTGCTCCAAGCTGTGGGCTTCTTTGCAACAGAGCCTGTGTTGTTCTTTTGGCAGCAGCCAGATCTAGAAGTCCTCTGCAGGCTGAGAAAGGGGGCTCCACTGTGCTGACCCCTCGATGGGCCGCCCCCACTTTAGGCTGCCGGGGATTTTCCCAAACAATCCCTGGTACAGCCAGCCGCAGAGCTACAGAAAGGGTCTGAGATCTGAGTTTGAACCCAAACTCTTAAGACCTGGATGGTTCAGGACGGACACGTCACCTCTGAAACTTACAGAATCGCTGTCAAAATTCATTCATTGAAGAGAGCGGTTCTCAACCAGGGGCCACAGTGCCCACGGGAGACATTTGGCCATGTTGAAGCACAAATCTGATTGCCACAAGAAACGCCACCTTTACCACCCATTATGCGGCATTTGGGACTACCCCAAAATCCTTAGAATTGTGAACAATCTGTCGAAACTCAGGCACTTACTTTCAACATTTCCAAAGCTTTATAGAGAAACTGTATAACCCCAAATTCCATAGACAGAGAGCTAGGGGGACAGGGCAGGGAAACCATGCCCCTGACATAGTCATACTGCCAATGTCAGAATTTTTTAAACTGGTTAACATGTTCTTGAGAATTGTTGGTTATTTCCTTTCAAAAATCCAAAACAGAAAAGCAAAAGGGAAAAGACTAGGTCGCCAGAAAGGGTATAACATATTTCCGTTTCTAAAGCCTAGTAATTGGAGTTTCCCCAGCTCTGAGCAGAATTGCTTCACCCACAGTCCAGTAGGATGACAAAATGGTAGCCTCAGCCAGGACTGGGGGAAGGAGAGAGAGAGAACCTGCAGAAGCTGCATAGAAACATGCGACCTGCAGACCCTGGAAGGGTGAGAAGAATCAGGAAGGTCTGAGCAGGAGTCTCCCGGGGCCTCTTATCTCCTTGCACTAACACCTTCCCTCCATAGCAAACAGGGCTCCCTCACCCCTTGCACT